GTCACAGCATAGGGCACGACTGTTAGGAGATGGAATACTACTCGGCCATGAAAAGGGGGGTACGGTTCCCGTTTGAGAGCACGTGGATGGAACCAGGGGGTAAAGCTGAGTGAAATAAGACCATCATTAGATGCTTCCACTCGCACGCGGAACCCACAGGTCAGAGGAGAGCACATCCGAGAAACGTGGCTGCGGAGTCAAGGGGCAAGGGGGAGGCAGGGAAAGGAGGGGGGCCCACGGATGGTGGCGGAGGGTGATGGGGGTGTGTGGTGACAACCCCCGAAGGGTGTGACCCTTACTCCTCTTCAGTCACCGCCTAGGACCCAACGCTTAAGAGATTATATGCGATGGAATACTACTGAGTCATGAAAAAGGATGGAACCTGCAGAATCCGTGGAGGGGCTCCACAGGCGGTGTCTGCCCCGGGGCAAGTGGCGTTGCCTCAAATCACCTCTTTTGTTGATAAAAGTCCCCCACATTCTGTGTTTCCGGTAAGTGCCTTTGTTTCCATAGGAATGGAATAGTACTCAGCCATGAAAAGGGAATGGATCCTTTCCGGGGCTGCCTGTCGGGAACTCCTCGGCTGAGTCGTCTCAGTCAGCTTCCTCCCCTCCGTTTCCACCCACGTGGCCTCACACGGGAAAGTCACGTCCTTTATCGTGGCCGAGTAGTATTCCGTTTCCCTAACAGTTGTGTCCTGAGCTGTAACTCTTACAGGATGGCACCCCGCAGGGGTTGTGAGAGCACCCCACCACCAAGGCCCCCATCACCCACCACCACTGACTACTCAAGCTCTCAGGAACCAGAACCCCGAGTTTGATCAGATGGGGGGGTCCGGGGGGTCTGAGGACAGAGTCGTTAACAATGAGGGGCCGGGCGAGATCAGCCCGGAGACGGAGATCCCAAAACACACCCCAGCAGAGCACGCAGAACAGCTGGGTGCAGGAAACCAGAGAAGAGGAGTCGAGATCCCCGGTGTAGACACAAAGGGCCGGGTAAGGAGAGACTCAGTTGGGTCCAACAGCCAGACCCTGGGGTGCAGCTGGAAAAACGTGGGGACTTACAGGGACAGAAAAGGCGCAGAGCCGGCCTCGGGGTGGGGCAGAGAATGGCTGTAGGTTTGCGGAAATGATTCTTACACTTACAGGAGACAGAAGGACAAAGCAACTGGCGTTTCATTGCCAGGGCAGAAGCCAGTTCTCACAAGCCGGTGTGGTGACAACACACCCGTACTTCACTGCATCGATGAGCCCCGGGGGCACTAGGACACGCTGGCACATTTCCCAGGAATACTATACAGCCAGGAAAAGCACACACCAAGCCAGGTGTTGTCACGACACCACCGAAAGTTCACCTCCGAATTAAAAAAACTGCACAGATGAACCCGGGGGCAGGGGGCACACTAGGACACAGTGGCACGACTTTCCTGGGAATACTATAGAGCCAGGAAAAGGACACCAAGCCGGGTGTTGGGAAGACACCATCGGTGGTTCACCTCAGAATTAAAAAACGGCATAGTTGAGTCCAGGGAGGCACTAGGACACGCTGGCACATTTCCCGGGAATACTATACAGCCGGGAAAAAGGACACACCAAGCCAGGTGTTGTCACGACACCACTGAAAGTTCACCTCCGAATTAAAAAAAACTGCACAGATGAACCCGGGGGGACCACTAGAACACGGTGGCACATTTTCCCTGGGAATACTATACAGCCAGGAAAAAGGAGGCGAGGTTCTCATGAACAACCCATCAGAAGCCACGTGTTTAGAACTCTGACGGTATCACTTTCTGGCAGGCACCCCAAAAAGGCGGTTGGCGGATCCCCAGAGAGCTGGGACAGATGGAGAGACCCCAACTTCATTCTCTGGGAGCTTGTATGTGTGACTCTAGTGTTGATCTCTGGACACGGGGGACCGACTACTGGGGGTCACCTTCCTCATCACACCAGCACATGGGAAAGGACCCGCAGCAGGGCTGCAGCCACGGCTTCCAGACGTTGTCCAGCGTGTCCAGCTGCAGGGGTACTGGGGTGAGTGTCTGGCGATGCCGTTCCACAGCGCGGGAGACTGTGTCTATCACCTGATGGAACATGGGCTCCGTGTCTGGCGTGAGGGCGTGGGCTTCGGAAGGGTCTCTGGAGAGGTCAAAGAGCAAGGGCGGGTCGTGGCGGTCGACTTGGTCCCCCGAGCACGGACACACCCCTCTCCCGTAACAGGCTCCTGCGCCTTCCGGGTGGAACCGCGGGGTCACGTAGTGGACTTTCCAGGTGGCCCCACCTGCAGCACAGAGGAGAAGCATAGAGGGTTGGAGTGGAGGAGCACGGCGTGGAGAACAACAGGAGGGACAAACCCACCAAATGCCCATCAAGTATGAACAGGTCAATGAAAATGGTTCGTCCGCGTGCGGAATATCACACACCCGTGAAAACGCGCGGAATAGTATACACCCGTGAAAAGGAGGCCTCCTGGATGCACCTTGAAAACGTGGAGCTCACAGAGAGACCCAGGTGCGCAGGACACACAGTGGGGGGCTCATTTCTAGGAAATATCCAGAGCAGGCCAGTCCACAGCAGGGTGTGGGCTTCTGGTGCCAGACACTGGGGTGGGGTTGGGGGTCGGCTTCAGGGGCGATGAGGGTGTCTTGGAACTACGCAGAGGTGACAGAAACCTCTGCAGACGGACGGCCGAGAACAGATCAACGCACTGAACGGCTCAAAGAAAACGGTTCATCCACGCGTGGGATATTATACACCCGTGAGGGTGCGTGTGGAGTATTATACACCCGTGAAAAGGAGTCTCTGCCATGAAAAGGGAGCTGGACGGCCGAGTCCCTCGGGGGAGAGATGGTACTGGCAGGAGGTGGGAGCGTGGAGAGGGCGCCAGGAGGAGGAGCAGAGATCACCACTCA